AGCAATCAGAAAAGAGTGACTCATGCCATTCACAACAATATGAATAGAGCTAGAAGGGATTATGCTTAATGAAGTAAGTCAAAAGGAAAAAGAAAAATATCATATTATTTCACTTATAGGAGGATTAGAAATACCACATAAGGGACCAGGGGAAAAATAATAACAACAAAATAATAATTGTCAGAAACATTCTGTTAGGGAGTGGGGTAGTTCCCATAGAATTCCCTCCATCAATTCGCCCATGCACCATCACCATAGTCAGTCCTCTGTGTTTTTACCTCTCTGTTCTGATCCCTCTCTACCCTTCTTCCCTGCAGATAAATTGAGATAAAAAATCAGTGTGTTGCAGAAAACACAACCAATTTATAATCAAATAGCAAATTAAAGAGGTAGAAATCAAGAAAATAATCTCATTTATAATTTCATTAAAAACAATTAAATATCTAAAAGTGAACTTAACAAAGGAGGTGCAGGACATATATAAATACAATGAAAATAATAAGACATTCTTAAGAGAAGTAGAAGACATGAAGAAGTGAAAAGCTATCTCTGTTCATAGACTGGAAGAATTAATCTTGCTAAAGTGGCCATCTTACCCAAACCAATTTATGATTCAACACAATCCACAAATAGTTTAAATGACCTTCTTCAAAGAAATAGATCAAACATTACTGCAATTCATACAGAAGCACAGAATACTCCAAATATCTAAAGTAATCCTGACCAAAAAAAGAATTATGGCATCTCATTTCCACACTTCAAACTATACTATAAAGCTATAGTAACAAGTATTGGGATTAAAATACAGCAATATAATAGAATTGAGAGACCAGAAATATATCTGCACTTTTTTTTTTTTTAAGATTTTTTTATTTATTCATACAGAACTTGGGTACAGGCCAGAGATGCGGAGGGTGAGAGGATTCACCAAGGACAGAGTGGGGAGCAGAACAGGCAGATCGACGAAGTACACTGCTGAGGGGAGCAGCGGGCGGGTCAGGAGAGGTCTGCCACGCCATGTGGTCACCTCCGGGGCAGGCGGGAATCGAACTCATGCGGAAGTGGCTTTAGCTTCTTAGTGCAGTGCTTTAACCCGCTGCGCCACCAGGGAGGGCCTATATCTGCACTTTTAAGGACAGTTAATTTACGACAAAGGAGCTAAGAGCAACAAAAGATGGACCTCCCTGGATGTGTAGGGGTTAAGTCTCAGTACTATCACTTTATCACCACAGTAGACTGAGTTTGATCCCCACCAGGGATTTGACTCACATATGGCACAGCAGACATCGCCTTTCTCATCCACTACTCTCCTCAGCAGCATATTTCAATAGATTCACTTGTTTTACTCCTCATTCTGTCTCTGGGGAATCCTCTAGTACCCACCCCACCCCCCACTACACACACATCTCTAGCCTACACTTCTGTTCTTCTATGCATAAACAAATACATAAATATTTTTTTAAAAGTAACAAAAGAGAATATAAATAATTGGGACTATAGGAAGCTAAAAACCTTCTGCACAGCAAAAGAATCTACGATGAAAGTAGAAAGACACTGTGCCAAATGGGAAACAATATTTGCACATCACACATCTGACAATTTGCTGATATACTACAAAAAGAAAAGTAATAAGACATAAAAAAGTACAGTAGTGATAGAACACTATTTTAAAGACATAGAGATGGCAAAGCAGCCCATAAAAATGTCACCACCACTTATCATCAGGAAAATGCAAATGAAAACTACAATGAGATACTTCATACCTGTGAGATAGTCTATATCCAAAATAAGAGAAACAGTTGTTAGCAAGTATATGGAGAAAATGGAACCCTTGTTTGACATTGGTCAGGATGTAAAGAGTTCCAGCCCTTTTGGAAAAAAGTATAGCAATTTCTCAATATATTAAGAGTAGATGTGCCATACAATACATAATTCCACTCTTGGGTATATAATCAATGTATGCCAAAACACTAATTCAATGTGTTATGAGCTCCTATAGTCATATTAGCGCCATTTACAATAATCAATTTATGGAAACAAATTAAACACCTAATGACAGATGAGTGTTATAGAATATTGTGGAATTTATACATTGTGGAAAACTGTTCATTATGGAAAATTATCAGCTCTTGCAATTTGTACAACATGGGTGGAACTAGACAGAATTATAATAAGTGAAATAATTCACAAATAAAACAAATATCAGATGTGACATAATATAGAATATAAAAAGACAAAATAAAGGGTCATGTTAGAGCCAAATCAATAACAAACCCTCAAATCTGACAGTATAACTAAGAGTATCAGAGGTGAAGGGCAAAGTGGCAGCACCCAATATACTCTGTGGAAGATGGAGCACCTTGGTGCTCTTACATCTGAACTTACATCGGAGGCATGTGGTCCTATAACTTTGAATCATATGCAGAGTTGTTAATCAATATTATCTCAATTTAAAAAATAGACACACAATGGAATATTTTTATTCAGAAGTGAGAACTCTGCATTTTTGTGGCAACTTTGGAAAGTGTTCTGAGACCATTCTACTGAATGAAATGAATTCAAACAGAGAGAATAATACTTTATGAACTTCTTATACGTGTCCTCTAAAAAGACTGTATTCAGAGAAAGAGAGTAGAATGGTGTTGTCCAGGGTTTGGGGGTTGGGTGGAGGACATGGGGGAATTTTGTTCAAAGTATACAGACTTCCGCCTATGAGGTGAAAAAATTCTGGGGATCTAAAGTAGAGCAAAGTAATTATAATTGACAAAATCATACTGTTATGTAGAAGTAGACATTAGAACTTATCACACAAAAAGTGATAATTATGTGAGGTGGCAGAGTTGTTAACTTTCTTTATATTATAGTTAACAATTGTAAACTCTAATATAGTATGTGTGTGTGTATAATACAGATATCACAGCATTATATTTACTACGTTTTGCAATATATATATTTATCAAGTCATTGCACTGTTCACTCAATTATATTTCAATAAATATGTTGAGTAAAAAGAAATGTCTGACATTTTGCATATCTACTGCTATCATGGGAAAATATTAGAAAACTGAGATGTAAATTTTAGGTATTTTATAACTTTTCAAAATATTAAAATTGGAATAGAAACAAATGTTTGGATTTTTATCAGATGTTTAAATTATGTATTTTAGCATAGGGGTTTGTTAAAACTGTTATGTTTGTTGGGTCCTTTGTCTGGACAGACCTCCCCACTTCCCCCACAGAATCATATGCACACTGTTGTGTGGAAACAGAAAGAATGAGCCATGGGTGCTGGAACAGAAAAACAGGAGGCATGAAGTGTTCCTGCCTTGT